TCGAAAACAATCGAAAGAAATTAAAAACAAATCTATTGGAAAAACAGTAAGTATTTATTAGTATATTAGTATTATAAAAACATAACTAATCAATAATTATCAAAATAAGAATCAAGTAACTTAGTGAATATACAAATAAAAAAATGTAAATTAAAGTAAATTAATTTTACTTGTTTTTAACACTGTTTAAATAACACATTATGAATACGATTTACGATATGAAACTTCCATTCAATAACGTACAGGCGCAATGGAAAATCCCGTATTTCATAATAAAATAAAATTAGGATATCAAGATCAATTCCGACTTAAGAAAGAAAAACGTTTGTCTTTTAAATTTATTTGATATTAAGTCTTTGGGTATGAATGCTTATGATATTGGTTTATGTCTCAATGAACAAATTGATGATGAAAACGAATTAATGTTTTTAAAAAATACATGGGCACCAATGCATGGATTTGATTTTCCAACTGTCAAATATGGAAATCAGAATAGAAGTTTTCAAAGAGAATTTTGAACATGTTCACGTGGTTGGCTTATAGTGATCTAAAAAAAGGCGGTTTTCGTAAATATTGTAGGGTTTTTTTTAACCAAGTGGTTGTGGTCAAAGTAGTCAGGTAATAATAATAATTTTATAATTAATCCCTGCTAACAAAAATAATTATAAAACATAAGGCATATTAAAAGTGACATAAAGTATGATAACAATATACCAATAAATTTTGACTTAGAAATACAAGCTGAAGTAGAACTCTTGAAGTCAAAATAGACCAACATAGAATATCTAAAGCCCAAAACCGCTATCGATACATTGTGATGTATTGTACCTTAATATTAACGTTTTACTATACATTTTTAGCAACAATTAATGATAACATCATTAATAGCTGAAAGATCATTTTCTTCCCTACAATGATTGAAAAACTATATGAGTAGAAGATACAGTATCTTCTGTCCTATTTACCCAATCGTCATGAATTATAAGTATTTCTTTATGCTATTGATATCTATGAGTTATAAACAGATTTTTTCGACAAAAGCAAGGGCGAATAAAAACTGAAGATTAGTCAAAAGATTAATGAACTTATTAATTTCTCATATTTCTCATTTTAAAATATATTATAACTAACATAGATATGCATTTACTATAATTATGCACTATATTGATTTAAATAACATTATTTAAAAGGAAAATAAGGAACATATAAGATTCGTAAGCAAATGGTATTGTAGTAAAAATTAAAAAAAACAAGCACAAATTAGAGGAATCAAAAAGACCATGAACTAACCGGTTTCATTTCCATATTCCATAGTTGATTGAACTACTTAACTATTAGTACTCACAAGTATTATTATTTAATATTATTGTCTATTATGTTGTGTTCTGTGGCTTTGTAACATGTAGCTTTATTTCATAACGTGTGATTTTCATAACGGTTTCATTTCCATATTCCATAGTTGATTGAACTACTTAACTTTTAGTACTCACAAGTATTATTATTTAATATATACGATATTTTACAACAAATATTGTAATGAAAAATTAATGAAAACATATTTTTATAGGGCAAATTAGGAAATCGAGATTCAAGGAATTAAGCATTAATATAGGAACAGCTAGGGCCGTTAAGACTGTACCCGTGCGCATGCCTATGATATTGATAACTATAGAACCCATAGAAAGATATCGGACACCTCATTGTTATCTACGTTAGGAGTCCGCTATATTATTGTCATACTTATGTTCTGATAACAGGGTAGGTAGTTAATATAAAGCAATGGCGTCATTTTGACTACGCAAGCTATACATTTGCATATTTAAAAATAATACTAAAGTGATTTGATCCGGTTTTATAAATTGTTTGGTCTGAATAATGGGTAGTAGTTTAAAAATTACTCGACTACATCTTTAGATTAATATATATTTATTTAATTAAAAAACAAAACATAATTAGGACATTATGTAGATATTGTTCATGATTTTCAAGTTCTTTATAATCGTTAAAATTCGTGAATGATACTTAATTAGTTAATTATTAAATGTTTTATAGAATAATTTAATATATTTATTGAAAAACAGGTGGGTTATTTTAATTTGTGTTTTGTTGAAAATTCTAGACAGGTTTTGCAGCTTCTTTTACTATAGTAGGCTCTCTAATTTATTAAATATGTATGTATAGATAATATCAAAAAAAAAACTTACTTTTTAGTGGTTGATCTAATATAAGAAAACAAATTTAAATTATGTATTATTATAATTTATAATTAATTTGTTTTAATAATATATATTTATACTATGCTCTCATTGTATGAACATATGTATTATCATCTCTGAGTTGTTTTTCTTTAGTCCGATAATTTTGGACAGTATTTTACGTACTATATTTTAAACAAAACATAAAATTTGCACGTTTTATTCTCGAATATGGCTCTGTGCTCTGTGACCCTTCTACTGATGCCTTTCGTTACATGATATAAAGGGTCTAAAGAAAATTCCTCTCTTCATGCTACCTTTAAACTGCATATACCCTTTTCTCCTCATGATTAAACCCCTTTCCAACAATTTTTATCAATGGATAGACTTTCTGACCGTCAGCATTTTGCATGAATTTCTTTCCTATCTAACCTTCTTTCCTTTAAAATTGATTGCCCCGAGCTTCTTCCCGTATCACCTTTAATGTTTTCTGCCATCGCACACGTTCATTGGTCCCATTCCACATCCCTTAATATTCATCTAATCACCTTCTCCATTTTCCATTTATCCGTTTTATGTGCACCGCTAAAACCGACCATTCTTTCGATTAAACTTTTTAATTAACTGTTATCAAATTATATATATACAAATATATATATATATTTGTTATATAATATTTTGTTGTATATGTAGATACTAAGTATGTACATTGCAATCTGGGCTAGTCCCGTAAATAAATAAAAATAAAATTAATATATATATATTACTGTAAATGCATTAGTGTAAAAATCATCAATTTTTCTTTTTCAAATAATTATTTAAATCTCCGGATGTTACAAATTCGTCAATCTTTTAGATTCTGAGTGGAGTGAAGAAGCTTAAAAAATATTGACTAACATATAGACTTGCTTGGATATAAGTTAGTTTTTTTAACGGAAATTTTCACGGGTTCAAACTTTCGGGTCAGGCCTTTCGCAGGAACGATATGGGCCATCTGTACATGTTGTTGTCAAAAAGCGCAGCATAGGCTCATCTATAGTCCACGACACGAAAACTTGCCCTTGATTATTGCGACTCACAACACCAGCTTACCCTACCCGATATCCATGGGTTCTTAACCTTAATCGTTTATCGTACATTGCGCAGCTATTACAGTGCTGTGGGTATTTAGCACGGCTATTAGCACTGATGGGGCGAATTGGCCACTACGTTTTCAACGATCAGGGACCAGATTTTGTGTCACAGACTATAGCTGGAAGACCCAGGGTTTTTATACCAGCCGCCGAGAACGCCTTAACAGACAAATCTTAATCTATAAACTGCGAGCACCTACACGCCGATTTGTATTGTGAGATTAAATTTAATTATTTTCATCAGTTAAATAAAATATACTTAAAAATATAAAGTTATAATTTACTTGAAGTGTTAAAGACATACGCTACAACAGCATATAAAAAATATAATCAAACTTTGAAAAAAACACGATATTAAAGAAAAAAAAAACTTACCAGTTACTGTTTGTCCTTCACGTGGACCTGTTAGTTTTAATAAATCAACATTTAGTCTACACTGGTTATAAATAATACAGAGTCTCACTAAGATATACCTAGTTATTGTATTATAACATCTCTAACGATAATAAAGATAACCAATTTTGTTTTTTACATTATTCACAGGAATAAATACTAAAAATATACCTAATCTAACTATACAACTAATATACTCATTTACTAACACTTTGGTTAATACCTGATAAATTGTAAGAATGTAACTTAATAAATGAAAAGAGTTAATAAAGATTAGAAAAAAAAGGATCGATAAAATGTGGAAGATTCATTGTTATAAGTCATACCTAGTAAAAAACCTTCTCGACTGACTGCAATTTTATTAAGCTA